AATGACGGGGACGGGGGGGACGGCAAGAAACCGCAGGGGAGGCGCCTCTCACTCGCGGGAGCTGAAGCCCCGCCCGTACTGTCACCTCTGAGACGACGCCCCGTGCGTGTCCGCCAGCGCCCAGACCCAAAGCGGTTTCACACGGCTCAGAAACGCGCCTGGCAGGCAGCTTCCTAATTATCAATCAGGCCCAAGCGCTAGGCGACGCGGAGCTTTCCAGAAAGCTGAGGTTTACTGTGCCCTCCTCTGCCACAGCCAGGGACTTCTGTGAACACATCTTCCCTCCGTGGACAGTACACAGGTACAAGCCTACTGATGGGGAATTAGTAAACCGCCAAGTGATCGTAGACGAGAACTTTCGGCAGCATTTTCTAAAGGTAATAAAAACACGTGTCCTGTGGCCTCGCGAGTCTAGGCTGGGCAGGTGTCGCCAGCCCCCCGACCTCGGCCGGGGAGGGGTCCTTCCCCGAACCACCACCCAGGCAGCGCTTCTGTTTCCTGTGAAGACACGGAGCTCATGCCCAGCGAGGCTGGCACCGGCTCCAAAGAGCTCTTCCTCCAGGTTCAGTCCTCATACTTGCTGGCCCACCGAAGTCGCCTCCCCCACGCCCAACACCCCAGAGCACGGAGGAGGGCGGAACTGAAGGTCCCCGCAGGCCATCGACTGCTCCAGATGTGACACCCTAGAGACATGGCCTTAACTTTCACCTTAAATGCGGGGAGCCCGTCGCATGAACGGGAGGGCTGTGGGCTGGTGCAAAGGGGCGTCTTCCTGACTGGGTCAATCTGAGCACATTCAGAAAAGATGGTGGGACAGGCCACCATCAACCAACGGGGGTCAGGGTCACCACGCTAACATGGAAACTGGGCCAGGATTACTCGGCTAGCTCCTTTACTCCTAAGAGAGCCCCGTGAGGTGCTGTGACCAGCCACACTCTGCAGGGGAAGAACCCGGGCTTGGAGTTCCAGTAGCCTGGCTCGCTCAGTTAGAAGGAAGGTTCCAGAGCATGTGCTGAACGCCCCACCAGGGTGCATGGAGATGCACCCCCCACCATCATGGCGCATGGAGAGCACCCCCCAGCATACGGGCACTGGGCGATCCCCCCACACACAAACCATAGGGCACCAGGTGATACCACACTCTCTGCAACAGGGCTGTTTTCACTGCAGCAGGTAAGCAAAAAAAAACACCAGGCCAGTCCTGACTCAGGAGACACTGGGCCTTCCTGTCCACTCTCAGAGCCCCGCCCCCTCCCCTCTGGACCTGCAAAGAAATATTCCCTCGAATGAAAACATACGCAGTTACGGGCCAGTTATAGAAACAAGCAACACACCGCGGGAAGCACTGCAATCAAGGTGAGTGCGCACGATGACGTGCACAAGAGAAGCACCCGTCGGTGCTGGCTGCGGCGGGGTGGCGATCTGGGTGGTGCTCACACGTCACGCCACTTTACGTCACTTTAAAGTCTCCGTGCCCTGTCTGTGTTAAGATGTCTTTAACAGCTTCCAGTGGAAACCACATTCACAGATTTCGAATTACAGTTCTTCCATTTTTTTAACTGGACTTACCAGCACAGGGCAATAAACACTGAGGAGTAAGAATTCTAACACTTAGCACGGAAGCCCGTAAAGATGATCTGAACCCTCCCCCGCTTCCTCAGAGAACCAGGGCTTAGAGACGGGGTCCCGTGGGCCCAGGACTAGACCTGAGCACGTGAGTCCAGCCGCTTCCTGTGTCCATTTATTCTTATTGAAATGAAAGTAAACGAAGTTTTAAAAGGGCAGACGAAATTGAAAATGAGAATCAAAAGTTTGTCTCTTAGGGAAAGTTAAGGATCAGCCCTGGGCAAGACTCTTCCTGCCACTGACCCCGCCCTCTCCAGGGCTCAATCCCTGTGGCCTGAAGATTCGCTCACTGCCCCCAGGGGACCCCAGGCCAAGGCCCGCCCATCCACGCACCCCTGCCCTGTCCAGGACGAAAGACACCTCTGGGCTGGGCCTTCCTGGAGAGTAACACAGGACACTGCAGGTGGCTAGACCCTGGGGACAGCAAGCCGTTGTCAGGGTCCCTTATCACCAGTTCCCTTCATCCCCAGCTCCAGTTAGCGCCCCTGGAAACCCAGTTTCCCCTGCAGCGTGGCATGCTGAATGAAAAGGACCTGGCGTCGGGAGGCCTGGGTGCCAGCTCCGACTCTGCCGCTTCCTGGCTGTGCCACCTTGGGTGAGGCAGTGCCTTTCTGGGCTCGGCAGTATTTGTGAATGTAAGAAACTGTTTCTATGCCATCTTTGTCTAACGGAAACATAAACTGGTCCTTCAGCTGAGACTTTAAGTGATAAGTGACAGCTGCCCCAAGCTCGTCATGCCCGTGGCCAGGCTGCCATTCGTCTCCCCGTATGAATACTCCTCACTGGGTGAAGAATCCCAGGATGCTCACGTCCCTGTCAGTGGTGCCCAGTGGTGCCCAGGGGAGGCCTGGCCGCCCAGAGGACAGCCCTCTGCCTGCATCCCGCAGCGTCCCGCAAGGCCGCGGTAGGTCTCACGCCCTGACCTTGGGGCTGGAGGGAACATACTCCGCAGGCAGTCTAGTCACTACAGAAGTGACAGTGATTGTCGCAGCCTCGCTGAGCCCTTGGGCCGCGCCTCACCAGAAACCGGCTCCCTGTGAGGCTCCCAGGACCCAGGGCAATGAATTCCTGTCTCCTTAGAGGAAGGGGAGGAGGGGGAGGGGAGGAGATGGAGAGGTGGGAGTGGGAGGAGGGGGGAGGGGGGTTAGGTTACTGTGGAGAGGGGTCAGGGAATCCGAATTTCCAACAAGGGTGGCCAAGGACAGGACTTACAGGCAGAGGGGAGTGCCAAGGCCACCTTTAAGCAAAATACAAATAGAGAACAATGGAGCTTACGAACTCGAAAGACTTGGACGGGGCAGGGCTGCAGAGGGCAGCAGCCCGCTGTGGGCCACTCCCTGGAGGGGTGCCAGCGTGCCCACTGATCCTGCCTGTGATTGACAGGACTGCTGAGAGGGGACAAGTCACAGTTGTCCCCTCTGCCGCCTGGTGCCCATGCCCCACCCACGCGAGAAACGGGGTTAGAACGTGCAAGGGGATGCATGGAGAAGCACTGTGCGGACGCCGAGTGCCCCTCCGATCTGAACCCCAAGTCCCCAGGCTCTGCCACGCCGTCCCCTGGACGACCAACACGTACCCCCTCCAATGAAAGCATCCCCCGCCTCACCAAGGACAGACTGCAGGACGGCGCGGCCTGCCCCCACCCCCCAGCACGGAGTCCTGTGCAGAACCCAGGCCACGGAGAACAAAGCTGCGCCTCCGACACAGAGGCCAGCAGCTGCGACAGCCCCTCAACTCCTCAGGGAAACAGCGCAGCTGAATTAAGCAGTAATGATTCAGGGGCCGGGCACTTTCTAGGGCCTTAAT